TGATTCTTTCTCTGCCCAATAGGCTGATGTGATTCTCCTCGTCACATGTTCCATCAGGTAAGAATGGAATGCTGGCCAGTTTCTCCAGTTATACAAAATGGGTCCACCGCCTAGCAGATGATAACCCATAATATAATTTGGCATACTCCAAGTTCCTCCACTTTACTTATTTTCTGCAACACATTATGATAAATTCAACTAGTAGAAGTGGGGCAACCCTAAACCCACTTAACTTGGCTTGCCTCCAGCCGCTGCGAGAATGAAAAAGAGTTGTCACTTGTGTTATCTGTTTTCACATTGTTTCTGACATATGGTGATCCTACCATGGGGTTTTCTTGACAATATTTGTTTGGAGGCGGTTTGCCTTTGCCTCCCTCTGAGACTGTGATAGAGTGTAACTTGCCCAAGGTAGGTTTCCATGTGTGCCAATTTAAATTATTATTCCTGTTTTGAATGGTTAGGAACTGCTCAGTCTGATTTTATTGTACAGTAGGCCCTTGGTGTAGATTATCAGGAATTCCAAAATATTCCAAAATCCAAAATTGCCCACATGAGTGGCTGAGATTATGACACCTTTGCTTTCTGATGGTTTAGTGTACACCAGCTTTGTTCCATGCACAAAATTATTAAAAGTATTGTGTAGAAAATGTGTATAAGGTGTATATAAGACATAAATGAATTTCGTGTTCAGGCCTAGGTCCTATCTCCAAGAGATCTCCATGTGTATGTGCAAATGTTTCAAAATTGTCCATAGGGGTGGCTGACATAGGGACACTTTTGCTTTGTGATGGTTCAGTGCACAAAATTATTCAAAATATTGTGTATAAAATTACCTTTAGGCTATATATGTAAATGTATTATTGTTGTGTTTTGTGCCTTCGAGTCATTTTGACTCATGCGACTATATGCTGAGAAGATTTGTTCAGATGGAGGGTGTTGCTTTTGCTTTCCTGAGGCTGAGAGAGTGTGACTTGCCTAAGATCACCCAGTAGCTTTCCATAGCCCAGTGAGGATTTGAACCCTGGTCCTCATAGTCATAGCCCAACTCTCAAACTACTAAACCACACTTGCTCTCAAGGATAGAGTTGCAAAAAGCCACTTTGTCTTCTTGCTTTCCAGGGAGAAGGCTGAGCAGACGATCTGGAACCGCCTGAACCACCTCAAGAGTGTGAAGTTGAAGCGGCCTGTCTCTCAGGGAGCACTCCGGATTGGGATTTTAGGTAAGGATTGCCAGAAGGAGAAGACACAATCTAATGTTGTGGTAATAGTGCTACAGTCAGTCCTCCATATCCACAGATGCTGCACAGCTTGAAAATACCCCCACCCCCACCCCCCAAAAAGATTCCAAAAAGCAAACCTTGATTTTGCCATTTTATATAAGGGGCACCATTTTACTACGCCATTGCATGTATGTCTTGAGCATTCATAGATTTTTGTGGGTCCTGGAAACAAACCCTAGCAGATACAGGTTGAGTGTCTCCCTTACCCAAAATACTTGGGACCAGAAGTGTTTGGGATTTTGGGAGTTTTTCAGATTTTGGAATTTTTGCATATACACGATGAGATATATTGGAGATGGGCCTCAAGTCTCAAAACAAAATTCATTTAGGTTTTGTATACACCTTATCTGAGCCATTGTGGTGTAGTGGTTTGAGAACTGGACAAGGACACTGGGAGACCAGGTTTCAAATCCCCGCTGGTCTGTGGAAACCCACTGGGTGACTTTAGGCAAGTCACACTCTCTCAGCCTCAAGGAGGCAAAAGCAACTCTCCCCCCGAACAAATCTTGTCAAGATATGGTCGCCATGAGTCAAAATGATTTGAAGGCACAAAACAACAACAATGATACACTTACATACATAGCCTAAAGGTAATTTTATACACAATATTTTAAATAATTCTATGCATTGAACCATGGCAAAGGAAAGGTGTCCCTATCTTAGCCATCCCTATGAACAGTTTTGGATATTGGAATATTTACATATACACATTGCGATCTCTTGGAGATGGGACCCAGGTCTAAACATGAAATTCATTTATGTTTTGTATACTCCTTATACACATAGCCTGAAGGTAATTTTCTACACCATACTTTTAATAATTGTGTGCATGGAACAAAGTTGGTGTACACTGAACCATCAGAAAGCAAAGATATCATAAACTCAGCCACACATGTGGACAATTTTGGATTTTGGAATGTATCAGCATTCCTCATAAGGAAGGCTTGACCTGTACCAAGGGCTCAGTGTACAATAAAATCAGATTGAGCAGTTCGCAACTATTCAAAACAGGAATAATAATTTAAATGGGCATGTTAAGCAATTGAACATATTGAAACAAGGTAGGTTAAAAACAGTTTAAGACAATTTAAAACCAGGCCTGTGTGCAGATTTAGATGCTATTGTGTCTCTGACGTTCTCCTGCTCACTCCTGCTGTTCTCTTCCCTTGGAAGGCTGCATGGCCGAGAGGCTGAAGGAGAAGATCTTGGACCAGGAGAGGATGGTTGATGTTGTGGCCGGTCCAGATGCCTACCGCGACCTTCCCCGCCTCCTGGCAGTGGCTGAATCCGGCCAGCAAGCTGCCAATGTCCTGCTGTCCCTGGAGGAAACCTATGCGGACATCCTGCCTGTACAGACCAGTCCCAGCGCCACCTCAGCATTCGTGTAAGTCAGACTGGCTTCTTTCTACCTGAGTGGAGTGATGGCGTGGTGTTGCACATAACTGACAATTTGTTTATTTTTTATCTATTTATTTATTGACAATTGACCCTCCACTTTTGCAGATTTGATTCATGTATTTGATATGTTTTCTCTAGGAATCCTTCACTACTCCTGCATGACTCTGTGGCCAACTTTCATCAGAAGTTGTGCTGGAAGACCTAGAAGTTCCTAGAGAGAACACTCCTCTAGGCATTTGTAGGTCCTCCAATATAATTCTATGGTCACTTTCCAGTGGAAGTTAACCATAGAGTTGTGTTGGAGAACCTAGAGGTTTCTAGAGAGGTATTCCTTCATGTTAAAAAAATATTGCTTTTTTGGTTTGTGGTTTTCTCAACTTGCATGTTATATGGGGGAGCATCTGCCATATTTCTACTCCTCCCGCAGACTTTTTTAGGTTGGGTTTCAAAGCTAGAAGTGACTTTGGGCCGATTTCTTGATTTGAAAAAGGCTTCTTCTGGACCTAAAACAGGGACTGCATCTGCACTAGAGAATTAATGTAGTTTAACACTACTTTAACTGTCATAGCTCTATGCTATGGAATCATGGGATTTGTAGTTTGTTGGAGCACCAGATTTTTCTGATAGAGAAGAGTAAATATCTCACAAAATTACAGAACCCAAAATTCCATAGCATGGAGCCATGGCAGTTAAAGCGGTATCAAACTGCATTATTTCTGTAGTGCAGATTAGCTCAAGGAGAGGGCAAAACATAATGAAATGGTCTCTGCTATACATCATAGAAGGTGGAGGTGTGAATAATTCTTTTAAAGAGGTTTTTAAAAGTGGGAATTTGGTGAAGATGGAGCCTTTCAAGCAGTTGGTGAGGGACAGAAGCAATTTTAAAGACACCTTAGTTCCCAGGTGTCTCATCTCCCAGATGCACTTCATTACCTCTAGCTTACACTGTCTGGCTCTTTACAGAAATCTGTAGTTCAAAATACAGGTTGAGCTTCCCTTATCTGAAATGCTTTGGACCAGAGGTGTTTTGGATTTTGGATTTTTTTTTATTTGGAATATGCATGTATATAATGAGGTATCTTGGAAATGAGACCCAACTCTAAATATGAAATTTAGTTATGTTTCATGTACCCCTTATACAAGAGCCAGCATGGCATAGTGGTTTGAGTGTTGGACTATGACTCTGGAGGCTAGGGTTTGAATCCCAGCTCAGCCACCTAAACCCACTGGGTGACCTTGGCAAGTCTGCTTGCACAACATTTTCTATCCATTTTCTTTTTAACTCCTTCACCTAGAATACTGTGTCCAGTTCTGGGCACCACAGTTCAAAAAGGACAAGCTGGAATGTATCCAGAGGAAGGTGACTAAAATGGTGAAGGGTCTGGAAACCATAAAACTCTTTAAGGAGAGACTTAGGGGGGTGGCAGACTGCCAGAAATAGTGCAAATTGAGTCCACTTTTAGGGTTAGGGTTAAGGAATCATGGGAACTGTACTTTATTGTGGCACCAGAGCTCTCTGACAGAGAAGGCTCAATGTCTCAAAAAAAAAATTCCCATGATTCCCTAGCACTAACCCTAACCCTAAAAGTGGGCTCAATTTGCACTATTTCTGGCAGTCTGCAACCCCCCTTAGGCAGCTGGGTGTGTTTAGTCTGTCTGGAGAAGAGAAAGTTAAGAGGTCATATGATAGCCCTATTTAAATATTTGAAGGGTTGTCATAATGAGGATGGAGCAAGCTTGTTTTGTGCTGCTCCAGAGAATAGGACCTGGAACAAAATGGATGGAAGCTACAGGAAAAGAGATTCTGCTTCAACATTAGGAGGAACTTCCTGACTGCTGGACAGTGGAACATACTCCCTCGGAGTTTGGTGGAGTCTCCTTCTTTGGAGGTCTTTAAACAGAGGCTGGATGGGCATCTGTCGAGAATGCTTTGATTGTGGGTTCCTGCATGGTAGGAGGTTGGACTGGATGGCCATTGTGGTCTCTTTCATCTCTATGATTCTGTGATTGCTACTGGCTTTGTTTTTCCCACAGATCCATCATGCGTGGCTGTGACAACATGTGCAGCTACTGCATTGTGCCGTTCACCCGCGGGCGCGAGCGGAGCAGGCCCCTTGCCTCCATCCTCCAGGAAGTGCAGATGCTCTCAGAACAGGTGCTGTTTTGGCTTTTATCTTACAGTGAGCCCTTGGTATCCACTGAAGTTTGGGTCTGGGGCCCCCTATGAATACTAAAATCTGTGGATGCTCCAGTCCCATTAAATACAATGGCACAGTAAAGTGATGTCACTGATATAAAATGGCAAAAGCAAGGTTTGTGTTTTGGAATGTGTTGTAGTGGTTTGAGAGTTGGACTATGACTCCAGAGATCAGGGTTCAATTCCCAGCATGGCCGTAAAACTACCTAGGTGACCTTGGGCAAGTTGTTGTTGCTGCTGGTTCTTATTTATTTTATTTACTTCTATCCCGCCTTTCTCCGAATATAGGGATACAAGGCAGTGAACAGCAAATTTAAAGTAATACAATTTTAAAAACAGTATAAATGCATTAAAATGTATAATATAAAATTTGTAAAAAATTAAACAATTTTAAAAGTTAAAATAGTTATGCATTAAAATGTAACGTTAAAAACCCTATAGAAAATTTAAAATCTGAGTAACACAGCATTTAAAATGAGAGAGCTGTTTGTTATGGTCCCACTACGTCGTTCTATCAAGAAAAGTCTGTAGGTACTGATCCCTTACTGTGGCATATAGCTGGCAATTACATAGGACATGCTCAATATCTTCTATTCTAGGTGCTCCACAGGCACATGTTCTCTCAAAGTATGACACTTGGTGGAATTGTTTGTATTTGACCATGGAGTCTAACTGCTCAAATCTCACTCTGGTTAAAGCTGTCCTATGGGATTGAGTCAGGCCCATTTTCAGATATTTTTCTATTTGGAAAAACAGGTTCAGGTAGTATGATTCTGAGACCGCAAAGAAAATATGCAAAAGCTGTTCACTGGAGACAGAAGTGGGTCAGATTTCTCTTTCAGGCCATTCTCTGCTCCCTCTCTGCCCTATACTGCTGTTGTTTAGGTGCAGTCTTTCCTTTTCTGATAGTGACTTAACGTCCTGCCTCCTCTTTGCAGGGTGTGAAGGAAGTGACCCTCTTGGGCCAGAATGTCAATAGTTACCGGGACACTTCTGAGGTCCAGTTCCTCTCGGCAGCCCCAAGTCGTCTGAGCCGCGGCTTCAGCACCGTCTACAAACCCAAGCAGGGTGGCTTGCGTTTTGCAGAACTCCTGGATTGCGTCTCAGCCATTGACCCAGAGATGAGGATCCGTTTCACTTCCCCACACCCCAAAGATTTCCCTGATGAGGTGGGTTTGGAGCTGGGGCTGGGGTTTTCTAGCCAAGAGCAAGTGGTTGCAGAGGGTGTGGACGTTCTGGTCCAAATGATACAACTCATAGAATCATAGAATCATAGAGTTGGAAGAGACCACAAGG